GTGAACCAAACACAATCGAGCATGTCAACCCCACGGTGAATTTAGTCTCCCACAGCCGAACGAATGAGTATTTAGTTTGGCAGCACAGTTCACTGCTTCCCAACTCGCTGTTTGTCTACAGCAGGCTCCAGGGATTTCCATACCCCCCCAGAACTCAGCCCTGTGTGCTCTGTCCTACCCTCCCACCCCAACTGTGGTAAGCTGTGCTATGCTAGCATCGCTGTCTCAGCACTCGGGCTCCCCCACCCCCTTTCTAGCCTTGCTGTTTCTGCACTACAGGGTAAGCTTAAGCGCCAGACAATCTGCTGTGTGCCGTACGTAAGAGTTTCTTAGCGATTGGAAGGCCACAAAGTTCCCAGCAGGTCCTGTCCTACCAATGGAAAATGCATTGGCTCAAGGAACCTTAGGGATTTTGTTTAGATTGCACTTTCTTGCTTTTTAGTGCAGCAATAATTTGAACAGTCTCTGGCTGGACTGGTGAGATTGTTCACTGCTTAGCTCACCCTTTACCTTGCCTGGGCTTCTGCAGAGATCTGCTCACATGAATTAGATAGTGAGAGATCTTGAAGAGGCTTTGGGAGGAGACTGTAGGGCCTACTGGATAAGGCGCATGGCTGGGTGTCAGGAAACCTGGGTTCTATTCCCAACTCTGCCACTCACTCCCTGTGTGACCTTGGGCAAGCCTCATAACCTTATTTCCCTATCTGTAAAATAGTAGTAAATGATCCTTTACCCATCTACATGGAGGAGAGTTGCAGATTCTAGGACCCTCCAAAGGAATGAAAGGATTGCTGGGATAGATAGCATAGGCTGCAGTTTAGGGTTGGTTATTGTTTGTTTGTTTGAGTTACCAGTAAAGCCAGACTCCAGGAAGGGGCTACGGTTGGACTGCATGTGGTGTGCTGTAGGCTGTTCAAAGCAGGGTTGGATGCTTATACCATGTTGGTAAAGCACCTTGAAATCAATGGAAGAAAACTACTAGAGGGGTAGCATGGGCACAGGTGGGTTTTTTACGTGGTGTGTCTCAATTGGAAGCACTCTTGTGAGCTGTCCAGCTGGAAATTAAAGATCCCAGTGGATAAATCGAGTGTCCTAATCAAAATTCTAGGGTTCTAATGTGCGAGGCTGTGGGTGAGCTGCTAGCATAAAATAACGTACCTGTTTGCACACGTACACTGCACTGCTAGTGTCTGAGTCCTCCAAGTCCAGTTTGCATGGATAGCATTGAAACATAGCTTGATGTAGTAAGATCTGACTTGATAGTTGTCACTCACACTACATGTTCTAAAACAACTTGTCTTGGAAACAGTTTATGGAATTGAGAGATTTCTAACAGATGACCCAGAAGTCAGCTTGCTAAATTTTCAGCATGCTATTTGAAACCAAAGTGGGTCCCTAACCTATGTTCTTCTCCACTCTCTGTCAGCAATGGCTGATATTTATTGGTACAAATAGGAAGCAAACATACATATGTGAAGAGCATGGCTCAGCGGCGTGCATCCACTTTTCAAGTCCTTTTTTCCCATTTTACAATTGCTAATGACTGAGGATTTTATCTGGGGTTTGAAAAACTCAATGACCTGTGCCAACCTGATGTGTTTTCTTTTAGGTGGAGAGAAAGATGAAGCTGATGATGCTCAGGATCTTCGGAGAACAGAATCAGACAGCATTTTGAAGAAGGTACTATTGTTGTGTTTGTGTCAAATGTCATCCATGGGCCTTTGACACTTTTAACACTTGAATTGTAACTTTTTTTAAATCTGAAAAAAGCATATATTTATGGACATATTAAAACAAGTTAAAACTCACCCCACTGGGGAAAAAAACTGGGGGCACCATGCTCAAAACCAATTTTACGCTAACTAAAATTTCCTCTTTAAAACAATTTTACTGGGTAATAGACTCTTCCGTAGCACTGGTTATCTGCCATCTGTCTGCAAATCAAGTAAAACATGTCTAATTATGCATCGTTATTGAAATACCAAGGCCAAACATAACCTCACACCTATTCTCGCTGTGGAAGAATTTATCAAATCACTACAAAATGATCGCTAATTAACATTTGATTTTATGATTTTTCACTTACTACAAACTACATGAGTTCTGCCCTTCCAAAAAGGAAAACAGGAGTGTGTGTCTATGATTAATCGTACTTAGAAAGACACTTCCTGTGACTTGTCATTTGCCTTTTTATTAAATCTATGTGTTCTTTTTACAGGGGGGAAATGCTAATTTGATGTTCGTGTTGAAAAGAAACAACGAGGTAAGAACAATCTCCCTGGCTTACTTGTGTGGTGTTTTTTCCTCTTCAGTTTTGGTACCAAGTGTATGTGTTTCAATAGGTGAGGCTAAAATGTAACAAGACTCTTAAATGCAGTAAACTGAGAGTTAAACCCACTGTGTTGTGTGCGCTTAGGCTTGGATGCTCAGACTAAGGATTTGCTGACTGGCATCTAATTGCCAGCCGTAGGATGCACGTTGATTATAGACATCAAGGTTTAATTACAATTAGAAAGCACGTGACTCTATTTACCATGCATCTGCGGATAGAATGAGTATAATTGTATGATGCAGGTGCAGTGAGTTGGGGCAATTAGGTTTCTATTCTCCCTTTGATACGCTTCGGTAACTCCCAATTAACTCTAATGGCAGCTAAGTATCACAGTGAGCAAAGGTTCCCTTAATAACATTTATTACACACGTATTGGAAATACTGCAGTTTTTGTCAATTGAATTTTTGTATTAAAGGAGTAATTACAATATGTTCAGCAGGATTGAAAGAAGCACTTAGCTGGTGTTTTGAGATACGGGAAGTCACCCAAAGCATCAGACATTCTGTTGGCACTGTACCAGTATATGATATTGGAGCGCTTGCCTTTAAGGACTGTATTTTCAAATTGGCCTCCAATAATACTCATGCGGCATTTGTGTGCCCGTTATTTTGCAGAGTCTCCCTGCACCATAAATGCAGGGGGTTGCATTTGTGAAAAGACATGACAGGCACACATTCTGGGCCATTTTATGATTTTTACCCCAACAGTTGTTTCCCTGCAAATTTGAAAATATGGTCAGTTCATTCCAGTTCCTTTCCCTCCCTGTATCATTCCCCTAGCATCATTAGCTCTTCAACCTGTTGATACAGCAGGAAATAGTTTAAAGCAGGGATCGGCAACCTTTGGCGCGCAGCCCGTCAGGGAAAGCCGCTGACAGGATGAGACAGTTTGTTTACCTGCAGCGTCCGCAGGTTCGGCCGATCGCAGCTCCCACTGGCCGCAGTTCGCCGTCCCAGGCCAATGCGGGCTGCGGGAAGGGCGGCCAGCACATCCCTCGGCCCACGCCGCTTCCCGCAGCCCCCATTGGCCTGGGACAGTGAACCATGACCAGTGGGAGCTGCATTCGGCTGAACCTGCAGATGCTGCAGGTAAAGAAACTGGCCCGGCCCGCCAGCGGATTTCCCTGACGGGCCGCGTGCCAAAGGTTGCCGATCCCTGGTTTAAAGAAACAACCTGCAAATTCCTGTGAGGTATCAACAATCCCATGGTTCTGTGCATGATTCACGCACCTTGTTGTGAGAGTATGTGCACGCCAGATGCCATGGTCAGGTTCTTTCAATGACTGGTCGCTGCACTGATCGCTGAGGAAGGCCAGGGTGAGATTATCTTAGATGTCTCTGAGATGCCAGAGAGAAATGGATGACTAAATAGATACCTGTGACTAGTACGTGTGTTTGGGATAAGGAAGTACAGGGCAGAGAGCATGGGAAGAGTCAGGGGAAGTAGAAGGATGTCTGTGTGGCTTTAAATAAAACGGCATGGCTTTGTAAGCCTCGTTGCTAAGGCTACGATTTAATCAGGGGTATTTTTTGTAAAAGTAATGGACAAGTCACCGGCAAGAAACAAAAAATCACCGCCCGTGACCTGTCCATGACTTATACCATAAATATCCCTGATTAAGTCTTTGGGTTGGCGAGCACCACTGGGGTGGGGGGAGGGAGCCTGTGGCACCAGCTGCCAGGAGGGTGGAGGGAGTCCTGTGGGGCCCGCTGCCAGGTGGGGAGAACCCCAGGGGACCAGCAGCTGCTCCAGACACCCCAGGACCGCTGCTCAGGTGGTCCCTGGGCCAGCCGCATCTGCTGCTGCTTGGGCGGCCCTTGGGGCCAGCTGGACAGGGCCACCAGAGCAGTGGCTGGCCCTGGGGCCACTCCAGCAGCAGCTGGCTCCAGAGTC